CGAGATCGGGAATTGAACTCACGACCTTGTACTTGCCAGGCAGGCGCTGTGCCCCTGAGCTAAATCCCCACCCTCTAAGCTTAGTTTCTTAGTTGTCATTTCAATCACTATACCTCATACTACCTTAGTGTATGTATTAACTTAAAAGTATATGTTCAGTTGTGAGATTTGATAGTACTTGTACAGAAAAATGCATGATATATAAATGTGGAGTTTAAAAAGTGAATAATCAAGTCAAGAAATAAAACATTGCCACAGTTTCCTTTTCAAGCATAATGCTTTCTCTGTAAGCACTATCCTGATTTTTTATGGTAATCATGTCCTTGCATTTCTTTATACATTGTTAAATCCTCTTGGTGAAATGACACCTTTGTCATTTACCCCTGGTATTTCTTGTTCTAAAATTTTCTTTGTTTGATTTTAATATAGAAACTGTATCTTTCTTTGATTCTTGGAAAATGATATATCCTTGCCATCCTTTTATTTTGAACAAACTCTGTGTCTATGTTTAAGAGGGTTTCTTGTAGACAGCATAAGTCTGGGCCTTGCTTTTTTATCCAGTGTAATAATTTCTGCCTTTTAATTGAAATATTGGGAACTTTACATTTAATTTTATCATCAGTGTCATTGGGTTTACCTTCACCTCATATTACATTCATTTCGCCTATTCTTTGTTCTTCCTTTCTTTCTCTGCTGTCATAGTCACTTTCTAGGTGCTGGGACCCAACATCAACAATTTAAAGGAGAAGAAGTTTTTTTGGCTCGTGTCATAGTTACTTCTCTTGTGGTTGAGACAAAATAGCTGCCACTCAGAGTTAAAGGAGGAAAGGTTTATTTGGCTTATAATTCCTAGAGGTATCAGTCCATAGTTTTCTGGCTCCAAGGCAGGGTGGCATGGCAGAGGAGCATTGCAGAGGAGAAACAGTTCATGACAGGCAGAAGGCAGCAAGTTACAAGCGATGACCTCCTTTCTATCCCTTGTAGCACTCACACCCTGAATCCTTGCATCACATACTTGATCTCAGTATAACACACCCTAGATCTAGCCAACTCTGAAAAACCCACCCATGGCTGATGAGGCTTTAGGGGACATCTAGACACAAGCCCCAACAGCTCACATTTTCAGTCCATGGCTGGCTGGCACCAAGACAGAAACCATGGTGGGAGGTCCTGTGCAGAGCAAAGTTGTCTGAGTCGTGATGGTCAGAGAGAGAAAGCAGGAGCCCTGGAGGGAGATAGACCCTCCCAGGTCACACTTCCAGTGAGCCTCCACATCAACTTCCAGCAGGAGAGCATTCTCTCCATCAGTGAGTACAGTGCCCCTATGGTCCAGTCAGCTTTCAAAAGCCCTGCTCTGAAGGCATAATGCTTTAGGGGGCAGTCTTCATCTAAACCATAGGATCTACCTCATTGCATGAATTGAGTTTTAAAAAAAAAAAGATCATTTTTTATCCTCACTATTGTCTTGTTTGCTAACACATCTTTGCTTTTTTTTTTATTTTAAAGAGTAAAAGAAGGATAACATAATAATGGGGGGGATTACCAAATTACAAACAAAGTGGTAGGAAAGTATCAATGGTTATTGTTTTACGTATTGTTATCTACAAGATAGTTTCTCAGGAAAACAAATAGACAGATAATAGTGAGTTACAGACAAAAGAGGTAAGAGATTATCAATAGTTGTACTATACTTTGGTATCTTCAAAGTGGCTTCTAAAGAAAATAAATAGAGCTATACATGAGTGACCTATTGAATAATCATTAACTTTTCTCAATGGTTGTTGTAGGAAACACATAATAATAGACATACATCCATTTATGAAATAGGATAGGAACAATACAAACATTACAGAGTTATGGATAGATTAGTAGGAAAATATCAATGGCTGCTGTAATACATGGTGGTATCTTTAAAGTGGTTTCTTAGGAAGACAGAGATAACGCAAGGAGGATCTAACAAGTAGTTACAGCCTAAAGGTTGTCAAAAATCAAGTGAGCCGTCTGGGGACATCTTTGCTTTATGTTTAAATGGTTGCCCTAGGTTTGCAGTGTACAATTCTAATTTATCACAATATTCCTTCAAATAATATTGCACTACCTCACATAATACCTAACACAACACAAATAAATAATTCTTGTTTTCATTTGCATTTTAATACAAATTGGACTCCAAAGAAAGTTTCATGTAGCATATCTTTTACTATTAGTTAAGATTAGCAAGATTTTTTATGTACTAATTATCACCATAAATTCTTCACTAATACATATTTTCCTTTAGTGTACAAGTTATGTGTTCTTTAATTCTTTTCTTGCCTGTTAAATATAGCTGCTCTGTCTAGTCTCCATTTTGAATGTCAATGTTGATTGAATGATACTAATTTTTTAAAATACAGTTTTGAAATAAAAAAATTGCTCTGTCAGTAACTATCCAAGTTTGTCTGATATTTTGTTTGCTTGTGCCAATGACATTTTTAAACCTTTGTTTGCAGTTAGTTAATCAGTAAATATTTAGTGAGTACTCACTATAGTATGTACTATGGAGTCATTATCAACTGGCTACTATAAACCCACTTTGTATTCTTTCCAAGTAGCTTGTCTCTATAAATTTATATTGCTATTTTCTATAAAATTATGCTGTTTTACATTATAAAGCAATGATTTTCTCTTAATGAAATGTTTTATCAGATAAATATAAATACCATTTTCATCTTGAAGACAAAGGTTTTTTTTAATTTTCTCTAGGTATTTTTTTCAGTTGTTCAGTAAGCCTGGTTCTTTAAGTTTTACAATTTAACATATATTAATAAAATTTTGATCTTGTATAGAATTTTAAAATATAACTTCCTTGAGCTAGCCATTAATTCTGAAAATATAGTCTCAGTATCCAGGTTACTAAATTATATATATTTGGACTGTTTTTTTCTCTGAAATCCTATCTTGTCTCCCAGTAATACAGTTTTATTTTTTTATAGATGGCTATGCACCATTTCTTTCTTTGACTGCCAGAGAAAGTACTTTTACTGTTGTCTCTCATATTGAAAATGATGTCCCAGGTCCAGGACACTATAATGTTTCAGAAGCACAGGTACATTTATAAAAGTATTTATAATTGTCTTAGTTAATGAAAATAACTTTGTTTCTATAATAGACCAAAATGTCATCTGTTGTCCCCTTATATCATCTTCTTTTTGTTTTCAATCTATATTTTTAAATTCAAATGATAGAAAATAAATGTGTTTGGTGTTCGTTGCCTGAGTGGATATTTTTCATTATTCTGTATGTTCTGTAAGAAGCACAAAGGTGTTACAGACTGTGTGGCCCATGAGAATGGGAGAATCATACTCAAGTAAATTATGGCATCTGGAAATAGTGCACATGGCAGTAGAGTGAAGGAATGCTTTTGTGCCTTTCTGTAAAGCTATAGCCATTGCCATTGTTTTACGTTTCCTATTTATGCAGTTGAGTCTGTGACTAGTGTGTCTTCCATGATTCCGATTCACTTTCAGAAATAGTATGACTCTAGTATTTTCATAATCATAAATATGCTGTTTTACCCTTTTGAAAATTTGTTTGAATTAATTGGTTATTAGTCAATTGGCAATGTCATGATTCTGGAAAGTCCAGATACGTGGCATGGTGAACCTTAGAAGATTCTTCCTGGTGTGTTTTACACAATGAAAATGTTTAAAACTAACCTGAGCATAAAACTAGTCTTTTCCAACAAATCTATATGAACTTCCCTGGAAATGAACAGTACGTTATTTATGGAAATAACTACTCCTTCACAACCTCGGAAGATTTGCCTTTTCACTGCAATATGAATACCAGCATTTTTAAAGGTCACTTCAGAAGTATAAATTTTCCAGTGTCCTGCTAAATATACACTCTATTTCTGTTCTGTATCTTTGGGAAGTTTATTTTTGATTCTTGTTTTAAAACTGCATTTTCTTGTATTCTGTTAGATACAGTAAATACAGTAAATTTTAAATTCAGAGTTAAAACTGATAACTATGATTGTCATCTTTTCATTATTCTGTTTTACTAGAGCTATGTTCCCAACTAAGGGTCTTAACTTTTTTGGGTTAGGTTTTGAAATGGCTTTTTATTAATTATTTGTCAAGTAGGAAATATAAAGTAGCTCTTATTACTATTTCATAATTTTTCTATCCATTTCAGTATAATATAAAAGGAGGCCAAAGTCTACAAAACCGAGAGAAGCGTTTTAAGAATTTTATTTCAGATAACCCAGGACCTGCAAGTTATGGACAGTCTTATTGTGGAACACTAGGTATCATAAAGAAAGAAATAATAGAGCTTAAAGATTGTCCTCAATCAGTACGTTACTATTTTAAATCATATTTTCAATGATATTTTAGTTAAAATCAAATAGAAATGCTTTAATATTTTATGTGATGTCAATACATTTAAAAAGCTTTACTATAAAATTTAGTAGTATCCATACTGTGGTTATTTTATAATTAAATGAATGGTCAGTGATGTTTACAAATTTTAGTTGTTAATGATATTAGAGTATCTAACTTCATTGCTTACTCTGCCAACCCCACTGCTAGAGAGTGAACCAAGGTGTGCATGCTAGGCACCCCCAGGCTCACATTTTGCTCTTGAGAAATCCGTCATTACTTCCAATGTCTAAAGTGAATAGAAAGTAAGGTTTTTTTTTTTTTAGCCACTGGCTTACCTATTTGTACTACTCAGTTTCTTTACATATAGAGGAAACTCTGCTTAAGTAACTGCTAATAAAACAGTGATATTAAAACCTGGTTCCTGGAAGGGAGAGTGTGACTCGGTGGTAGACCCCTTACTTAGCATGCATGGGACTTTGGGATTGATTTCCAGAACTGCAAACCAAAACAAAACAAATTAAAACCCCCAAAACTATAATTCCTGAAATAAGCTAAAAATTTAGACAGAACAGAGAGACAGAATAGAGACATGTAGCAAGCTTCTAATTCAAAACAACATGCGAAAGGTGTTAAATGAATTATTATATAATTGACTGTCATAGGAATTCAAAACGGAATGAGGAAATCTGGCTTTGAGATGGGCCCTGAAGAACAGGATTGGAATATACATTTTAGTTATGGAGTGTTATATAAGCAGAAATGTGAAAGTAGGCTTTTATGGGAGGCGATAAAAGGATTTTTAAATTGGAGTAAAGACTCTATGGGAGACTATATTTGTAAGTGTATGCTGGTGTTATATAGTCATTTCATACCAAACACCTATTGAAATAAATCCTGTGGATTTGGTCACATTTTATTTGGAGTATTTTCTTATTTTGTCATAACTTCTTTTCATAGCTCTAATTAGTTACATTTTAATTAATTCTCTATCTAGAAGTTAATCTTCTAAGGCTAAATTCTTAGTCGAATAATGTCACTGCAATGACAGTGAAGTTGAATATCAGATATTTCATGTGTGGGGGCAAAGTAAATATTCATTTACTCATGTAAGGGTTTATGAAATGAAATCTTAGAGCCATAGTGAGATGTTTCTTAGTAGCCCAAAGTTGAGAGTCTTTGGAAGAAATAGGGGAAACAATTGAACTCGGTCTTAAAGAAGAACTCATGAAGGAGTTAAAAAAATTCTAGGAAAGGAAATCACATGAATAAAGAAATTCAGGTGTGTTTAGTAGAGTTACGTGTTCAGGGAAGTATGCAGAGTACTTTGGAAGGGCTAGGGTACAAGACTTAATGGAGAGCAGCAGAAACAGAAGATGGAGAAGGAGATAGGTGATGCCCTTTGGAAAGTCTTCATATCATGCAAATTCTTCTGGAAAGTACTATACTGAATGGAGGGGAAACCATCCAGTGCTTTCCTGTTTTAATTTGATAATTAATCTCATAAGTGTTACTGAACTGCTTAGTAGTTATCTTGACAGATAAAAAATACAGTTCTTCCAGTTATAGTTTTTAAAATAAGATAATTATATACAGATATGTGTAATACAACTGTGCACCTTATTTATGCATCCAGAAAGTATAGGGATCAATATATTCCTAATAAATCAATTTTCCAGATAACTAAATTTTTAAAATGGTAATATTTTTATCTGATATATTTTATATTAATGTTTCTAATATATATCAGTCCTGTTTTTAAATTATAAACTGTTTTACATTAAAGCAATTTTGAATAAAATGATAATGAACTCCGAACTTTTGACTCTAACATTGGTATTTTGTTAATTTTGGCAAAGCTTCCTTTATTATTGAATCTTGTATTTATATGACTTTATACATTTACAACTTGTACATCTATATTCATAATTCAAAATAAATAAAAAGTTTTATATTTAAAATTTTTATTTAGGTTTTTATCATAGACATTTTTTGCTCTATAGTTTGTATTTTCAGCATATTTATACAGGTACAGGTGATGAGCTAAGTCAAGAATTGTGAGGAATGGAGCCAGGAAATTTTATTGAAAGTGTTTGTTCTTGTATGGCAGGTTGCACTGGTGATGTGGCTATGTAAGTGCCTTTTCTGAATCAGTAGTATTTGCTGTAGTAAGTGACATAAATAGTTAATTTAGTGAGAGAAAATCCTGGCATCTTATGGTGTCTTTAAATAGTATCTGTTTTGTTAGCTTATGAGTTGTAAATTTAATTCAGTTCTTTAAGATATTTTTACAAAACAAACATTTTTGGTTTATATTGTGAAATTCATTTAGTCAACATTTGTTACTTTTTAGTAAATCTTAATATTTTGTTCTGTATTTCCTTTTCTTTTGCTTTTGAATAAATAATGTAAAACAAATATTTCTATCTGAAGAAAATTTTAAGAACACCTACAGTTACCAGAAATGTAGATGTTCCTTCAATTCCTTCTTGTGGACAGTCATATGGTTATAATATTAATGAAGATGGCGGAATTACAAAATGCTTTCCACCTGCAAGTGATAGCACGCTGGGACCAGCATACTACAAACCTCAGTTTGTAAGTATACTTCACTTCATAGTTATAGTTGTTTATGAGCATTTGTTTTAGTTCATGTAATACTAACTATACTAATAGGCTCTCAAATTTCATTGGCTTCTTATGGTAGAACTTCTTTTCCTCATGTTCATGGGTGTGTCCCCATTTGGCAGAGAGGGGATTGAGGATTATGAGTGAGAGATTTTTGTTGATCAAGTCTAGCAGCTAAAAATGTTACACAGTCGTACTTAATTATGAAGGAGTCTGGGGAATATAGTCTTAACTCTATATCTGGGAATAGGAATGCAACTATAAAAATCATGAAATTCCATTTATGCAACACTATTATGTAACCTAAAGATCTCTTAAAATATTGCTAATTGTTTCTTTTATATCTATTATAGAAAAAAATTTTTGTTCTGAGTCCAGTCTAGTGTTACATGTTGCATTTACTTGTTATGTCTCTTTAGATTTCTTTAACTTGGAGAACTGTTCTTCAGTCTTTCTTTTCCTTTTTTAAAACCTTTACTTTTTTGAAAAGTTCCTTCTGGTTATTTTGTTGATTATGCCTCAATTATGGTTTTGTGTATATATATTTAACTTTAAAAATTAAAAAAAGAACAAAACAGCAAGGAAGACAAAACAAAAACAACAAAAATGATACATGACCTCAAAACAAAATGATAGGAATTTACAATGGTTGGTACATTACATACTGTTATGTTCAACAAAGTTGCTCAGTGCACCAGACATAAGAATGTAAGACTGATCAAATAATCAAAGTCAGTAACAAGTAAAAAAAAAAAAAAAAAATTGGAAATGATGCAGAGCTTCACCATACAAGATGGTAGGAGTTCATCAATGGTTCTTATACTGCATATTGTTGTTTTCAGATCAGTCAATCTGATTACCAAATTCAAGCATGCAAATTCTGTATCATTTTTATGGTTCTCTATGTTGTTTTGTTTGTGTATTTGTTTTTGTTATTTTGTTTTTTTAAAATGAAAAACAAAATTTATATGTATATATAAGGACAGCTGGAATAGGTGTATTGCTGATGTCTGTGGTTTATTGAAAGGAACAGTGCTTAAAATTTTCTTTTTTCTTGACCAACTTTGCATGCTTGAATTTGGTTATCAGAATGACTGATCCATATATTTTATAAATAGATTGAGGTTATGTATTTTGACAGGACTACTACAGAAGTGATGGCTTCTCAATGCATTATATTAAGAGGAATAAAATGTGCATTTGTCCCATAATTGGTGATGTTAAATAGAGGTGGTATTTTCCTATAAAGTTACTTCCTTTTTAATTTCTAAATTTTTGCAGAGCTACTATAAGGCTAAGTAGATAATTTATCATCAAACTTATGCCTACTTGTTTTAACATACATTGATGATGGCTGAATCACTTTTAGTATGTTTATCAAACGCTGATTTTCTAACTTTATATTTTCTTTAACTTCTATTCACTAACATTTTATTATAAAGAACTTTATTTTCTCTTTTATTTATGTACTCTGTATCAGATTTATTAATTCCTACCTTACTCAAAGGGTTATAATTTCTCTCATTATTTATTTTGAATCTTAACTGATTCTAGATTTGATTCTGGGGAGCTGCTTCAAGGTGCTTCTTGTGTCCTTTTGACATACTCTTGTCATTCTTTGAGCATTTCCTTACCTTCTGGCATAAGTAAATGTTTCAGGTTCATCTTGGCTGCTTTTTTCCCTTTCCCTAGGGGTGGAATGTGCTATTTGTTTAAGGAGGTCTACTTTCATTAGGTAGAGAAGGATTTTTATTCCAAAACAAAATCTACATACTAGATCTGTGCGTTGCTCTCAATATCAGCTTCTAGGTCATCTCAGTGACAGAGTTAGAAGTGTATATTTGCTTGTTGTCTATTAAAAACATTGAGTTTATAACTATGCCTCCAGTTTCCATCTAATCCCACAGATTTATTCTGGTCTTTCCATAGTTAAACTGCTTTTTTTTTACAGTGAGAAGTCTGGCTCCCATTATTTTCAGTATATTTTCTTATCCTATAATATTTTTAAAGTAGTTTCATAATTTATAACCCAGCATTGCAAAAAAATGGACTGGAGAATATGTAATAAGCTCTTAGCTCTAGAAGATCTAGAATCTGTACAAGCAGATTGCATAATGAGGGTTACAGCCAACCTGTAAACTGCCTGCTTGAATGCTGAAGAAGTACCCCGGCACACACACACACACCTTCACAAGGTTGGAGACTGACTGACTCAAGGAAGGTAAAGAAACATCTATCCAATTATTACTTGACCTCTCAGGAAACAGGCTGAGACCCACTGGCAAAAAACACAGAATTTAGAGAAGTAGTCTAGGAAAATCACTAAACAAACAAAAATTTCAGAGCTGTTATATTGTATTATAAAAATGCCCAGTTTCAACAGAAAGTTGTGAAACATGGAAAGGGTTAAAAAGAAACGTGAGGACCCTGCTGCCATTACAGTCTGAGTCTCTACTCTATGCAGCCGATGCAGACAGGAGATTCTCACTCAGAAGGCCCACGAACTGCTCTCACCCGGGTTTGCATGTGGGTCCTCTCTGCTCATGCCCAGCACCCAGTGAGGTACTGGAGCAGGTGCTCCACAAGCTGCTGACACTGTGGTTTGGGTTTGGGTCTTGCTTGCGCCCCGACCTCCTAGAGGTCACAGACATGGGCAGTCTGTGATTGCTGTTGGTGCGGCCCAAGTCTAGCTCCTGTGCATGTCTTGAACTGCCTGGAGACACAGAATCAGGTGGTCCACAAACTGTTGACCCTGCAGTTTGAGTCTGGGTTTGCCTGTACCCTGAACTGCCTGGAGACACAGGTCCACTGGTCCAGGATTGCGCCACCAGTGCAACCCAATTCTGGGTCATATGTGTGCCCTTAACTGCGAGGGGATGCTGAATCCGACAGACTGACATCAGCAGACATCACAGTCCTGGAAGAACTAAGTGCACTTCACCATCTGCTGGAAAGCCCCAGACTAAGAAGTGCACCTCAGTGGACACTGAGGGGCAAGCCTGACCACCAGCAACACTAGGGCCTTTGCTGAACTGCCAGGGAAGAGCGACTACTAGCTAGCGGCCTTTGCTGAGCTGCCAGGAAAGAGAGAGACTAAGCTTTCTGCATCCGGTATCAAACATGACAAGACGAAGGACTAAAACACAATCTCAGAACTCCACCCCACTAAGAAGAAGACCAGGAGACATCAACATAGGAGAACTTGGTAAACACACACCTGGAATTGCTGAAATGATTGCAATGGAAATAAAGCAACAACTTCATCAGGCCATAGAAGAGATGAGATCAGAAATAATCTCTCAGGCAAAAAATGAAATGAGAATAATAATGAAAGAACTGCTCAGCACATCTGAAGAAGAAACATATAAGCAAATAGAAGAACAAAGGCAATGGATGGAAACATTAGAATAATATAGAAATGACTTAGAACGCATGAACCAGATTCAAAGAGACTTCCAGGAAATCAAAGCTTCCACTGAAAACTGCCAAAACCACTTGAATGAAGTCGAAGGTAGAATTTCAGATTTTGAAGACAGCATGGCAGCTAGCAATCTTGAAAGAAAGGATCTCTTAAAATCAACAAGGAACCAGGAAAAATAAGTTGAAAAGCTGCAAGATCAGGCATAGGGGAATAATGTACAACTGATAGGAGTCAATGAAACAGCAGGAGGCAACACAAATGACATACAAAGAATATTTGCAGAAATAATAGCAGAAATAATAGCAGATAATTTCCCAAGTATGGAAACAGAATCTGATATACAGGTAAATGAGGCATATAGAACTCTTAACTAACCATAACCAAAATAAAACTACACCCAGACATATCATAGTGAAGATCCCAGATGTCCAGCAAAAGAACAGAATCTTAAAAGTTGCTAGAGAAAAGAAATGATTACCTACAAAGGAAAGCCCATCAGAATCACAGCAGACTTCTCAACACAAACCATCCAATCGAGAAGAGCTTGGAGTGAAGTATTACAGGTCCTGAGACAAAATAGCTTCCAACCAAGACTGATGTACCCTGCCAAACTCTCCTTCAGATTTAATGGAGAAATAAAATATTTCTGTGACAAAGAACAACTGAAGAACTTCACTAGTGCCAAACCATCACTGCAAAGAGTACTAAAAGATATTCTATTTTGTTTTTTTTTATGGTTTTTTTCCAGTACCGGGAATTGAACTCACAACCTTGAGCTTGCCAGGCAGGTGCTGTGCTGCTGAGTTAAATCCCTAGCCCCCTAAAAGATATTCTAGACAAAGAAAGAAATGACTGCAATTTCAAGAATAACAATAGAAAGGAACTCTCAACATGAGCAAGCAGTTAAACAGATAGGAAAAGTAGGAAAGCAACAGCAAGTAAATAACATGACAATGGTAAGTCAGCATATATCGGTTATAGCCATAAATGTAAATGGTCTCAATTCGCTAGTCAAAAGAAACAGACTGGCAGAGTGGATTAAGAAACAAAATGCAACAATATGCTGTACACAGGAAACACATTTCACTCAAAAGGAAATCCATAGACTGAAAATCAAAGGACGGACAACAATCCTCTGTGCAACAGGAACCAAGAAAAAAAACAGGTGTATTATTATGTTTGCAGGCAATATAAACTTCAAACTGAGAACAATCAAAAGAGATAAAGAAGGTCACTAGATACTTGCTGGGGGAAAACTGTAAGAGGATGAGATAACAATCATAAACCAAATATCAGAGCACCAAACTACATAAGACAAATCTTAACAGACATGAAAACCTATATAATTAATAATACTATTGTAATAGGGAACCTCAGTGCCCCTTTGACACAAACAAATAGGTCAACTGGACAAAAACTCAGCAAAGAAATAACAGATCTGAACCAAATCTGTGAACAAATGGACTTAGCAGGTGGATACAGAATGTTCCACCCCACAAAATCAGAATATACAGTTTTCTCAGCTGCACATGGGAGTTTCTCTAAAATA